CTCCCACCCATTGCACACCTCCCACGTGCAGCTTTTAACAAAGGGTCAGTGTGCCGAGGCCCTGCAGGGCAGGCGAGTCTCCCGGCGCCCTTTTCCCGGCAGCAGGGCCTCACCTCGCTTGCCTCTCGGTGGCAGTGCCTGGTCATTCTTGCACCATTCCACACTTTTTCTTAATGCCGTGGCACGTTGAACAGGCTGCCAAACGAACCAAACTCAACTGCCACCAGGTTGGCTCTGAGGGTTTTTGAGATTGTCAATCTTGAGGGGAGCAGACAGCCTGGTGGCTTTTGGTGGTTTTGAAACACTGACCTTGTAGGTAGCAGCCTAATGCCTTGCCCACAGTGCCACCCCAAACCAAAACATCCCCACTGCTGTTTCGCCAATTCCGACTCCATGGAGGGTTTCCAGGGCTGTCCATCTCTAGGTGAGCAGACAGCCTCATCTTTCTACTGAGGAGGGCCTGGTGGTTTTGAACTGCTGACCCTGCCGTTAGCAGCCCATGGTGTACCCACTATGACACCAGGCCTCCTTACAGAGCCACCAAAACAAAACGTAACAATTCTGACTCACGGTCACCCTGTAGGACAGCGGTTATCAACCTGTGGGTTGCCGCGACCCCTTTGGGGGTCGAACAACCCTTTCCCAGGGTCCCGTAAGACCATCGGAAGACACAGAAATACTTCACAATCTATAATTACATATTGCCGCGACCCCTTTGGGGGTCGAACGACCCTTTCCCAGGGTCCCGTAAGACCATCGGAAGACACAGAAATACTTCACAATCTATAATTACATATTGTTTTGTGGTTGATCACTATGCTTTAATTATGTTTAATTATGTTCAATTTGTAACAATGAAAATACATCCTGCATATCAGACAGTTACATGATGATTCATAACAGTAGCAAACTTACAGTTATGAAGTAGCAACAAAAATAATTCTGTGGTTGGGGGTCACCACAACATGAGGAACTGTATTAAAGGGTCATGGCATTAGAAGGTTGAGAACCACTGCTGTAGGATAAAGTAAAACTGCCCCTGTGGGTCAAGCCTCAACTGTCCACCTAAGAGTGGCTGCTGGTTTTGAACTGCTAACCTCGCATTAGCAGCCCATCGGTGAATAATAACGTACAAGTATTGACTCATCAGCTGTAACAAACGCGACAAAGGCAAATGTCAGTAACAGGAAACTGTGGAGAGGTGGGAGGGGTGCAAGGGGAGGGGTGGGGAAGAGCCCTGGCAGCACCTTGGGTTAGGGCCTGGGATAGTAACAGAAAGGCCAGGGGTTCAAACCCACCAGCTACTTCACAGCAAAAAGATGTCTGCTCTGTAAAGATTGACAGTCTCGGAAAGCCTATGTGCTCTGTCCTACAGGGTCATTACGAGTCAGAATAACTTGCTGGCATTGGGTTTGGGTTGGGAGAGGCAGGAGGGGGCACCTGGGGCTTCTCTGTATTTTCTGTACAATAATTTTATACATTTACAAGTGTTCTAGAAAAGTACAAGCTCTTAAAAAATAAACGAATTGACGTTCATTTTTAAATCCTAGGAGCCATGGTGGTGTGGTTGGCTATGCATTTGGCTAACTATGAGGTTAGCAGTTCAAAACCGCCAGCCACTCTTCGAGAGAAAGATGAGTCTTTCTACCTCTGGAAAGAGTTAAGTCTTGGGCAGTTCTATCCTGTCCTACAGGGCCGCTGTGAGTCAGAACTGACTCAATGGCAGTGAGTTGTATTGTCCATGTAGGATCCTCCAGTAGTTCAGGCTGCTACCGTCTAGGATTCAGGCAAGGACCCTGGGGTTGTTTCTGGATTTCCTATTATGAACCATCCTGATGCTTAGAGGAATCTGAGCGATCCAAGAGCCCTCCCATGGGCGGGGTCTTCAGCCCACACACCCTCACCCATTCCCCTGCCTCCTTAATATCACTCTCTGTCAGAGGCTGCTGTGTGCTGGCCCAGGCCCCAGGAAAAATGAGGCACGGGTCACCCCTCTGCCTCCCATCCCCACCCGCCAGGAAGAACAGGGAGCTGACTCCCTACCTGCTGTGGGGGGGCTCGTCCTCGGGAGAAGGGATAGCTGCCATCCAGCCGCTCGCTGCAGTCCGCCGTCCACTGCGGGAGAAAAGGTGTGGTAAGCGACGCCTGGACACAGGTAGCATCAATCGCACTCCATCGGCCTCCCTACCGCCGTCTCTGCCGCAGACACCCCGTGGGCCCCGACAGCTCCAAACCCCAAATCCAGGTGACCTCGAGGGTTTGCAACGTTGACACGAGGACCCGTGTAATCTATGAGACACTGCAGCTCTAAGGCAGCAGTGAGCTGTGACCCTGCCTCGGGGACCCGTCATCTACACACGCAACGGTATTTCCCTCACTGTGTTCAACAGTCGATACGTTTTGAACAGTGACCTTAACCTACACTCCATGAGGCAGAGAAGAAACAGAAGCAGCCCAGACCATGAATATTCAGCACAATGGGTAAAAACTGTTCGCAGTGGCTGGCTCCTGGCCAGAGCCGTCCTGGCTTGAAATACCTGGACTGGACACATCTCCTGGCCGTGGGTCACTGGCACAGTCCCCTAAAGTCCCACCGTCACCAAGCTTCTCTCGCCTCACTGTGACTCTAGGTAGGGTCTTTGAGGCTGTACATCTTTATGGGAGCAGACATTTTTCCTCCCGCGGAACAGCTGGTGGGTTTGAACCATCAACCTTGCATTTAGCAGTCAGTCTTATGCTGACTGGATAGCGCCACCAAGGGATGAGGACATAGGCTGGGTGCAGTGTCCTCTAGAACAGTGCTGTCCAGCCACACATAGGCTCACATGTGCCATTTAAACCAGAAAACCAAGTTCACTGAAATCAAGTCAATTCCAACTCCTAGCGACCCTGTAGGACAGGACAGGACCAGCCCCTGTGAGTTTTCAAGACTAACTCTTGACGGGAGTAGAAAGCCCACCTCTCTCCCACAGAGGAACGGGTGGTTTCCAACTGCGGACCTGGCGGTGAGCAACCCAGCTGAACTGTAATGCATCTGCCTACTTTATTTAAGGCAATGCCACTGAGACACCGCGTGTTCTCTTGTCCAGCCAGCCTTTGAAATCTGCTGAGAACGCAGCTCTGTTGGGACTACCACATTCAAAGTGACTGACTCGTGGCTACTATACTGAACACCAGAGCTCTAGCGAGATGGCGGAAAAACCACGGGGTGTATCAGACCCAGGCAAGTCACCCCTCAAGAGCCCCTGCCTGGCCCTCCCCGTTCTATCTGAAGGGGCTGACCCTGTGGACTGAGATTCTGGGCTCCTGTGTCAACTGGCTTTAGCTGGGCTCAGTCATTGAGGGGCAGGATGCAGAGAGAAGCCCAGATGTCTCTCCCCTTTCTCTGTGCCTCGGGTGGCATCACCAGCTGGGCCCGGGCCTCCTTCCCGGCTCCAGCTCTTGCCAGACAAGCCTCCTACCACATGGCTGTGACCCTGGCCTCTGGCTGCACCATCTCCTCTCTTTGTATCCAGGCCCAGAGGTAGTGATGGCAAATTTGGGGGGTTGGCTGGTGTCTCCACGCTTTTATCTACTGGGAAATCAATTCCCTAGATTAAATTCCCTCTGTTAAGAGATTTTCAGTCTCAAAGTATCTCCTCCAAGATATTAATTATAAGGGGAAAATAGTAACTTTACAGTGGGCAAGTTCATCAGACACCATCTTCACCAGGTGGTCAAAATTAACATAATAGCCATAAAATAGATTGGCATTATACATTCCTTGGCGTCATGTGCTGCGAGGGGCACACCCTTCTGGGCCCACCGTGCACACACTGCCTACGAGAGCAGGGGCATCCAGTTCATTCCGACTCATGTGCCAAGTAGGACTGTGCCCTGTGGGGTTTCCAATGGCTGGTGTTTTCCAAAGCAGATCGCCAGAGCCTTCTTCCAAGTCACCTCTGGGCAGACTTTACCTGTCAACCTTTTGGTTAGCAGCCTGGCACCACTCATGCCGAATCAGGGGAAAACACCAGACAATCCAAACGGAGAGACAGTTAAAATAACCGCATTACCACATCCTACAAAACGACGGAAGTGTTCTTCGAACATGCCAAAGTCAGTAAGGACAAGAGACACAGCCAGGGTCAGACTGGAGGAGTCAGGTGACTTGACCATCAAACAAGAATCAGATGTGGAAACAGAAACAAGGGCATGGTGGGAAAAATAAACCAACCTAAACTCACTGCCATTGAGGCCATTTTGACTCATTGTGACCCTATCAGGGTTTCCAAGCAGGTAACTCTTGACAAGGGTAGAAAGCCTCATCTTTCTCCCGAGGGGTGGCTGGTGGTTTCAAACTGCAGACCTTTCCGTTAGCAGCCCCATGTGCAACCCAGGCTGCCACAGGACTCCTTGTGGAAAAAACTGAGTGGAATACCAGTCAAGTTTCTAGTTCGCTGGAACTGTGCCAGTGTTTATCTCTTGGTTCTGATCACGGCACTCTGGCTGCATCCGTGGTTCATATTTGCTCGTGAAAGCTGGTGACAGATAGAGGCAAACCACTTTGCCCGATCTTTGTACCTTTGCGGCAATTATTCCCAAACTAAAAGTTAGATGTATGCACATATATGTATGTACATAGGTAGATAGGTAGGTAAACAGCTATATAGCTGTTTATTGAGGGGTGACTTTATTATATATTATATAGGATGTTGCAACTGTTATGAAAACCCCATGGATATTGGCTTCGGAAAGTTCATGGGAAAACCCTATTATCTTTTCATTCCATATTTCCCACTTCGCTTTTGAAGCCCTTCCCTGTATGTATACACACACTACCCAATACCCCGTCAGCCACAGGCAGCAGGGAAGTGGAAGCTGCAGGTGGGGTGAAGGTGGGTTGCTGGGGTCCAGCTCAGCTACCCTAGAGAAGCCTGGTCAGGCTGTTTTCTCCCTCAGTCTTTCTTCCTGTAGAATAGGGCCACGAACACCCCTTCCTCCCAAAGAGAGACTGAGGACAGTTGTCAGGATGTGCCTGAGGACACTCAGAAGTCACTGCACGCTGAAGGCAGCCGCCCTGGAAATGTAGGGGGAGTGCATATTTAAATAAAATAAATGAAGTGTTAGAAGACTCAAAACACATATTCCCTTATCTACTCATTTAAGAAAAGGGGGGTCGACCACCCACCCATCTATCCATACAGCTATCCACCTATCTATCCATTCACCCACCATCTACCCACCCATCATCCACTTATCCACCCACCCATCCATCCATCCATCCATCCATCCATCCATCCATCCATCCATCCATCCATCTACACATTCACTCCCACCATCCACCTAGCCATCTGCCCATCCACCCACCCACATACTCATAGCTGTTGCTGCTGGGCAGGGGCAGGCATCCTGGTTGCCTTTCTCCCTGAGTGCCCGCTGCAGTCTCTCGGATCCTGAACAAAGAGCTCGTCATCTGAGGAGCAACATTCTGCCCTGCTCCTTCAAGTTCACTGACAGTTTCCAAGACTCTGCCATTTTCTCCTCCCAGAAACATCAAACAGCACCACAGACAGGCAGACTGGGACGTCCTTGGAGATTTTTATTTGGGCTTCTATTTAAAACAGTCAGCACATTACATGTAAACAAGTGAACGCACGGTAGCAGACTTATTTCCCACAAAGCTGGGTCCAGACAGACTTTTTGTGTTTTTTTCATGAAGTGTCTTAGTTAGACAGGTCTGACCACTGGTCTTGAAGGAGGTTGGCCACAGCTGCCCCCTCCTCTGGAGTCTGCCCTCCGAGTGGGTTTGTGGGTGGGGTGGGTGGGCGAGCCGGGGTGGGGCAGGGACTGAACCGCCTCTCCTCAGCCCGCAGCCTGCAGGTGGCCGTGGAATGCTGCATGTGTCTGCATTCTTCCCGGGAACTTCCAAGAATGTCGGGCGTCTAAAGAATGCATCCAGATGTTATAAGTTTCCACATTCTCCTTCACTGTAAAAATCAGAGAAGCCCTTCCTGAACCTTGCCTCACCCGGCCGCTCAGCTGTATGCATGCCGGGTGATCAGCTCAAGCCATAAGGCGCTGGGTTGCAGGGAGCAGGAGCTGGGGTACAGGGTTCAGGCTGTGTTGCCCTCCCTGCCTCAGCCTGCTGGGAGCTGGGCAGGCCACACAGGAAAACTAGAAGTGCTGGGAAGGCCTTCCTTCCAAGATCCTCGCCCCAGGCTGTGCCGGGAACAGTCATCCCACAGCTAGCAAAGCATCCCTCTGGGGCAGCGCTTCATAGCTTCCTGGGTCGGAACCTTTAAAACAGGCCCTCCTGGAGACGGCTGGATCCCACCCCATGAGGGACTTAGGCCAGCCCGTGTGCCTGGCTGCCTGGCAGCCTCCTGGGACTGGTTGGTTCGCTTAGACCCTCCCCTTCCTCCTTGGCAGAGACAACATGATGAGTCTAATCGGCCTCAGAAGTTTCCCGTCTGTTCTGACACTCCAGGTCAAGCCATTGTTATCTACCCAACAGAAACAACCAACCCCAACCACGGCTATCGAGCTGATTCCAGCTCATAGCCACCCAACAAAGCAGAGTAGAACTGCTCCTAGACTAGACATCTTTGTGGAAGTAGACGGCCTCATCTTTTCTCTCACAGAGCAGCTGGCAGATTTGAACCAACGACCTTGAAGTTAAAGCCCAGCGTCAACCCCATTGTGCTCCACTAGAAAACCCAAAACCAAACTCAATGCTATTGAATTGATTCCGCCTCATAGCAACCCTCTAGGACAGTGTAGAGTCGCCACTGTGGGTTTCTGAGGCATCCATTTTTTTATGGGAGCAGAGAGCTTCATCTTCCTCCCTGGGGGCAGCTGGTGCTTTCTAACTGCTGGCCTTTCAGTTAGCAGCCACACTTGTAAGCCCTCCTGTGCTGCTGTGCAATCCACATCAAGAGTCACAACACCACAGCAGGGCCTCTCAGCCCTCCTCCCTGGCAGACCCTTCCTTCTCCAGCGCCTTTCTTCCTTCCAAGGGGATTTCCACGAAGAGATGCTACTACCCTAGCATCCCTCGGACCCACCTCCCATCTAGACTACCCAGCATTTCTGACCTACCTCCCATCTACACTACCCAGCATCTCTCTGACCCACCTCTGTCTACACTACCCAGCATCTCTCTGACCCACCTCCGTCTACACTACTCAGCATCTCTCTGACCCACCTGTCTATACTACCCAACATCTCTGACCCACCTCCATCTATACTACCCAGCATCCCTCTGACCCACCTCCATCTATACTACTCAGCATCCCTCTGATGCACCTCCATCTATACTACCCAGCATCTCTCTGACCCAACTCCATCTCTCTGACCCACCTCCATCTATACTACCCAGTATCCCTCTGACCCACCTCCATCTATACTACCCAGCATCTCTCTGACCCACCTCCATCTATACTACCCAGCATCTCTCTGACCCACCTCCATCTACACTACCCAGCATCTCTCTGGCCCAGCTCTGTCTACACTACCCCCAATCCATCTGACTCATCACCTGTAGTGTCCCCTTCCTGACTCTGCTCCAACCACACTGGCCTAAACTGGACCCACCCCAGGCCTCTGCACATGCTGTTCCCTCTGCCCAGGACGCCCCTCCCTGCTTCACCAAGCCTCGCCTGGGTATCTGCAAGGCTCACCCCCTCACCATTTAACATCAGGGTCCCTACCTACCCCTCCCTGACCTTGTTCTCTTGCTTTCTTGCCATGGTACTTACCACCCACCCGGAACGTAAGTGAACAGGGCAGGGCGCGCTGCCTGTCTTTCTCAGCCCTGGATGCCCCACCGTGGAAGAGTGCAGAGCTCTGAAGGGCTGCTGTTCCATGCACTCTTGTCCAAAGAGTCATGGACACATCCCAGGCCTTCATTCACTGTAGTTGGGGCCTTCAAGGGCATTATGAGAGGGAGGCATACATTTCCATTTTCCCCTGGGGCCGGCCTTCTCTTTCTCCCACCCTCTGCCCCCAACCATGGGAGTAAGGTGACCACTGGGTCTTCAGGGTTTCCCACACGGGCTCCAGTCTTCTTCCCCACCCCGTCCTCCTCCCCCACCCTCAGAGCAGGTAAGGCCATTTCCTCCCAGCTTTCCACCAGAGCTGGCTACCCAAGTGGCTCACCCCACGTGTCAGACAGGTGAGCCCGGGCTGGAGGTGGGACAGCAAGTATGAGCCGTGGATCCCTGGGACCTGACCAAGCCAGAGAGGGGTCCCTTGGGTGGCCCCTGGGAGCAGACATCTGTTTTCCTGCTCAGTGTGGACCTCTTTTCTCCAGTAGAGGAGCCCTGGTGGAAAAGTGGTTATGCATTATGTTGTTAACTACAAGGTCAGCGGTTTGAAACCAACAGTGGCTCCGAGGGAGAAAGACAGGGCTGTTTATTCTCCGAAAGGGTTACCGTCTCAGAAACCCAGAGGGGCAGTTCTACCCTGTTCTATAGGGTCGCTGTGCATTGACCTTGAGTTGATGGCACTGTTTGGGTTTAAGCTTTTTGGAACAAAAACCTTATGCCCAAGTGGCATAGTGGTTATGAATTGGGCTGCTAACCCCCAAGCTGCCAGCCACTCCTCGGGAGAAAGATGGGACTTCGTTACAGTCTTGGAAACCCACAGGATTGTTGGAGCCGGAGTGGACCCGATGGCCATGGCTTTTTATCTCTGGTGCCCTCCCAACGTCCCTGGGGGACCATTTGCCAGATAAGAGACACAGAAGAAGCCTCCGCAACCTTGAGAGATTTCCCCAAGGTCACACAGGCAGCTTGAAACGAATCTAGAGCCAGTTCTTGAGTAAATACCTCCTGAAAGCTTACAGTGTAAGGCAAAGGGACATCCGATCTGGTCCTTGTCCTTGTTCAAACTCAGGACTTCCAAATCTTGGCCCATAAATGTCAAAGGGTCTGCCTTTCCCCCAAGGCCAGCGAGGCCTCAGACGGACCCTGGGAGGGGGGTGGAGGCGAGACGCACCCCAAATTTCAGCCAGAATGCCAAAGCCTCGATCCACTGGCTACGCCTGGAGTCGGGGCCTGGGGTGAGTCGCATTGCTTTGGGGCTCGGTCACCGCCTGCATCTGAAGGCGAGGCATGCGCACCAGTCACAGCATTTGGATCGCTGGCTCCCTTTTGGCGCATAAGCTGTTCTGGAACCAGGAACCATGAAGACAGTGCTCAGTGCAGGCCAGCCCATGCCCAACTGGATCAGATTCCTGTTCTCCACAGCCATAGGCTTTTCCTTGGCTGATTTCTCAGAAGTAGACCACCAGACCTTTCTTCTGACTGAACACTAGGCCGATGCATGTCCAGCTACAGTGCAACACACAAGCCTCCACTATGCTCAATAATGATGTGTTTGGGTGGGAAAGAATGGGTGGGGGGTGGGGCGGCTGAGGGGCCAGGTGTGCACAACCAGGGAAGCCTTGCCTGCACGATTCTGGGGGCTCTGCTGGCCGGCCGACCCACCCCATCCCTTGGCCAACCAGGGCCGGATGACTAGAGGCACCTGGAGCCAGAGCCCCACCACCCCTCGCCCCCGCCCGCCCGGTCTTCTTCCACTCGCCTGGGAGATGTGGGACAGCGTCTTCTCGCTCTCGACGTCGCCCTCCGTCTTGTCAGCCAGCAGCCCCTGCACCTGGTACTCCAGCACGTAGCTGTCGATGAAGCGCTCCAGCTCCTCAATCTCCTGGGAGCGGCTGCTGCCCGCCTCGGAGGAGGCGGAGGCCGCGGAGGAGTTCTCCATCGCTGCCGCTAGGGCGCCTGGGACGGCCTGCTGGAGGAGAACAGACAGGCCCGAGTGAGGCCCTGCCGCTGCGGAGGGGTGGGGGACAGGGGCGGGGCCTCCCACGTGGCCGCGGCCCCAGCTCCTGGGAAGGAGGCGGGCCACAGGCTCATCGTGGGTGTACTGAGACGGAGCTGGAATGCCCACTGTGCCCGGAGGGAAACTGAGGCTCCAAGGGAAGGTGGGTGCCGGAACGTGCCTAAAGGGCCGACAAAGTAACGTGTGGCCACGCTGGGCATTCATGAGGTCCACTAAGATGGGGAGGTTATTTGGGTGGGCCTGGTCCAATCACAAGAACCCTGGAGATCTGAAATGAGGACGTGGGAGGTGGGAAGATGCGGAGCATTGTTGCTGGCTTGGACATGGAGGAGGCCACGTGGCAAGGTTGTGGCCACCCCTAGGAGCTGAGAGCAAGCCCTTGTCCACAATCCACAGACAAGTGAGAGCTACAGCTTCACCACGGTCAGTAAATTCTGCCAGCAAGTATGAGATGGGAAGCCCATCCCCTCCCCCCTGCCCCAGGGCATCCCCAGACAAGGCCTCACCTCAGTGTGGCCAACACCTTGATCTCAGCCTAGCGACCCACTTCACCTGACCTACAGAACTGTGAGATCATAAGGGCACTGCTTTCAGTGGCCAGGTGTGTACTAATGTGCTACATGACCGCAGAAACAAATCCCCGGGTTCTTCACTGCTCTACGCCCTCACTCAGCAGGCATGCGCCCCTGCCCTCCCCACCAAATCCACAGGCCCCTACGCCAAGACTGGGCCCAGGGGTTAAAGGCCATTCCTCCTGTTCAACAGTGTGGGCTGACAGCAAAAGGGGAGGCCTGAGGGGGTGCCAACGGTTAACCAAAAGTCTACCTCTGAGTCCACCCCCAGACCAATCTTATTCTCATGGGCCTGGCTCAGAGCATCCCTACAGGCTCCGAGACAACGACTGCCCCACAGGGTTCCCCAGCTCATCTTAATGCAAGCAGACTGCCACAGCTTTCTCCTGCAGACCACTGGATGGGTTTGAACCACCAACCTTTTGAGTGACCGCTTGCCCACTGCCGCACCCGGGCTCCTACCGGTGGGCTTGTAGCGCCGGCTAGATGGAAATTGGTTCAAGAGGTAAGGGATTCGCCAGCCTTGGCACGTGGGTGTGGTCACCAACTTGTGCTACTAACAGGGGCAGCTCAAGTTCACTGAGCCAGGCCCTCCTCTCCACCCCCATCTGCCTGGACCTGCTCCCCACCCCTCCCCAATACACACACAGCACCCCTGTAAACAGCCAGGGTCATGCTCCTTAGAAGGTGCCCTGGTGGTGCCGTGGGTTTGGCACGGGGCTGCCCAGCACGAGGTCAGCATTTCAAACCCAGCAGCTGCTCCTGGGGAGAAAGAGGCGGCTCCCTGCTCCCTGAAGATTGACAGCCCAGCAAACCCTGTACAGGGGTGGCCTCATGGGCAGCCGGTGGGATACTGCTTAGAAGAGAAAGCGGGGGATGCTGGGGATCCGCAGCCTGCCCGAGTTCTTACAGCAAGTTCCTCCAGCCTCTCCTGCTCCTCCCTCCAGCCGGACTGCGGGGGCTGAGGGCTGGCCTGGGCAGGCGGCCGCGGCGATGGGTGTGAGAAAGACAGTGTCCAGGAAAGGCTGGAAAGAGCCACCTGATGGCTGGGCCCAATGTTCCTGGAAGACGTGAGAGTTTATCAAAGGCCCGCTGGGCAGGTGCAGCCAGAGGCTGGGTGGCAGGGACTCATCCATTGCCGGGAGGATCACAAGCCAGGCTCGACCTCGGTCCCACCCTGATGGGTGGTCCTGGTAGAAACCAGGGGTATGGAGAGCCACCTCAACCCAGAGAGGCAGAGAGGCCTCCCTGGCTGGCTGCCAGTCTGTGTCCTCATCCACACCCTCCCAGCCCCCCTCCTCCTCCACTCACTGCTGCTGCCCCTTCAGAGCCTCACCCTGTAACCGACAGCCCCTCACCTCAGCTGCCCTGGGTGCTGAGGCCCAGGGCTCCGCTGACACATGCCCTGTCACACCTGCTACAGCCCCCCTGGCACTCAGCCACCTGTCCCGGGAGTGGGGGGAGTTCACACCCCACAGAGCAGCCCTCTGGGTAGCGTCCTTAAAAGCTCACGTTCATCCAGTCCATTCCGACTCAGGACGGCTCCACAGGGCAGGAAAGTACTGCCCAGGGGGTCCTGAGACTGCAACTCTTCACGGGAGTAGGCAGCCTCGTCTTTCTCTCTTGGAGCAGCTGCTGGTTTTGAAACCCCCAACAAGTGTTCCAGAAGGAGTCTCACTCAGAGGACCGAGTGCCTAGCCAGCCCATCTCCTCAGCTGGTGGGGGTGTTCCCTCAGCCCTTGCCGGGCAGCCCCCCTCCGCGCCTGGCTCCTGGCGTAAGAGGCGTGAGGAGCAGAGTGGGAGCCTGGGGCTATGGAGACACAGGGCTGAGGAACCTTTCCTCAAGGCTGGTTTCGCTCCATCCTATCCGCACTCGGGGTGTCCCCTCCGGTCCCAGTGGCCCGTCACAGAGAGAGCTGGGTGGGGAGATCCCAGACAGCTGGGCTTCGGGCAGAGTGAGAGAGAGGAGCTTCCATTTTCAAGATCAGTGAGCATGAGGGAGGACGGAGGGTGGAAGAGAAGACACGGGCAGCAGCAGCAAGACACACACTGGACAACAGACTCAGAGCCGCCCTCCCTCCTTCCCCTCCCCTCCCCGTCTACTCCTCCCTGCCAGGTGACAGATGAGGAGGAAGGTGCCCTAAAGGGACAGGCAGCCATGAGCCTGCAGGTGGGAGGCCTGAGGGCCACCGGTCCGTGCCTGGTGGGAGAGGAGCCGGGCAGGCGCTGGAAGCACTGGGCTGGTGAACTCCATTGCCTCTACTTCCCAGAGAAGTCAGACAACTGGGCATAGCAAACCCAGGCACTTTATCACTGCCTGTGCCTGGTGGTGCAGCAGTCTCAGCACCAGGCTGTGAGCCCAAAGCTTGGCAGATCAGACCCACCCGCTGCCCCACAAGAAAGATGTGGTGGTCTGGCCCAGAGGCTGACAGCCTTGGAAGCCCAGAGGAGCCCTGGTGCTCCCTCCAGCTGGCACCCACTCTAGGGCAGGGTTTGGCTGGGGGCATCGGGTAAAGGGGAGGAGTCTGGGTAGTACAATCAGTTCCAGGCGCTGGAGTGATACTGAAAAGGCTGGAAGCCCAAGTCTCCCTAGAAGTGCCTCCAAAGAAAGGCCTGGCGGTCCCCTTCTGATCAATCACAGGTCTACGATGACATGCACACACATGCACATGGGGCCACCAGGGCACTGAATCGACCAGAGAGCAACTGGTTTTTGTTCTTGATTTCTTGGTGACAGGAAAAGCCTGTGCTCGCCACCCAGCACTGCAGCGACTGTGAATGAAGGGATTTCACCCTAGCACCCCGGAGTCCACTGGAACCCCAGTTTCTCTTTGTCACTGTAGCCCAGCGAGCGAGCGTGACTGGCTCTTTTAAGGCTCGGAATCTCCGGTTCTTTGCGGAAAAGGGCACCTTTCCCCCCCAGAGTGGTCCCACCCAACAACCTGGTCCCACACAGGCCCCTCCCATGGCAAGCTGGCCACCGAGTGGGGCGGCTCCCTCAGAAACCAGTGCTCTGGGAGGGGCTCGCGCTGACACTGCCTGCCTGCTCACTCCTCCAGAGGGAAAAGCAAGGCTGACCTCTTTGTCGCCCTGAGCTGGAGACAATAGGCTGGAGCCGCCCCGGCGGTCTCAGCAGCCTTTCCCGCCCCCAGTGACAAACGGAATTAGCAGCTGCGAATGCAACCAATCCCTTTAAGAGCAGCCCCGCATTAAAGGGATTACCTCTCCCTCCCAGCGAGGTGGGGTTGGGAGTGGGGTTAGGAATGTGCAAAGGAGCCCTGTGCTCTGCTACCAGCCGGTCCACACCTAGGAAACCCATCCCCCATCCCTCTGCCTCCCAGGAGTCCTGTGGCTCTCAGTATTGGGGTGCAACCCAAAATGACCGGAGCCCACCAGCTCCTCCTCCTCAGGAGGAGTAGGTGACCCCTGCTTCTGCAAGATTAACGGTCTGGGAAACCCACTGGGGCGGGGCTACTCAACCCTGCAGCCCAGGGGCAGCTGTGGGTGGGACCCCAGACCACTACCTGCCCTGTTGCCTTCCATTGACTTTTTTTCGTGATGGTTTTATTGGCATTTCATCCACATACAACTCATAGTTCAGTCCTCTCAGGAGGAGTTGCACAACCTTTACCACAATCCATTTTCGAACATTTTCTTCTTCCTCGTACTCAGTTATTCATGGAATTTTTTTTCAATGTTGGCCAAAAATGTACACAACAAAGCATTATCCAGTTCAACAATTGAGTGCTGTTGATTAGACTCTTCGTGTGGTGCAGCCATTGCCGATATCCCTCTCCAAACTGTGCCACCACCATTCCCACAAACTCTTCCTCTTTCACCCACGGTAACCATCGGTCAAGGTTGGTTTCTTTTCTGAGTAGTTTTCCGGATATACTATTCACATATCATACATTTCCAGAGTTAAGTGGCCTTTTTAAAGAGTTGTATATACATCATCACACTTGGTTCTAATGCTTGTCCCTCCCTCTCATATTCATTGATTGCTCCTCAATTCCCCTCCCCCTCCTGTCACCAATAAACCATTGCATCAGTTATTGTCACCATGCATCCACACCGCTGTGCTTCCTAAACTGGGACATCTAACAGATAAAATAAAAAACAAAACCCAAGTGAAACAGAAAGAAGAAAACAACAATAATAATCTAAAGATTAAAATAGTAAGAAAGAGAAGACCACCAACAATCTTTAGAAAGCCAGAGAAGAAATTTCTGTTGTGGAACAATCGAGAAATATTTGAGCCTAGAGAAAATTCAGGTTGAGTCAAGAGAGAAGTTAATTAACCAAGTATGACATTATATCATGGTTCGATCCACCCTAATCCAGTTTACAATGATGTCTGACAGTCAAGTT